AAGCCGAGTCTTAAGCATCTCAACTTGCTCTACATTCTCCTCAACCATCGCTGGTTAAGTCTCATCTCTGTCCCACTTCTGTCTAACAAAGTGCGGTACGAAAAGGCCTACCATAAAGCGCCTCATACGGTGCCATTCCAATACTAGAATGATAGATGTTGTTGTAAACAAACTCTGCTAGAAGTAAATACTTTCTCAGCTCCCTTCCTAATCCAAAACACAAGCCTTGAGCATATCTTCTAAAGTCTGAATAGTCCTCTCTCACTGACCATCTGTCCGCGGATGGTAAAATGTACTCATATGAACCTGTGACCCGAGTGCCTCCTAAAAGGGCTCTCCAAAATGCAGACGTGAACTTTACATCCCGATTCGATACAATACTGACAGGTACTCTGTGCAATCTAACAATCTCACTGATGTAAACCTGCGCCCACTAATCAGCTTTGTCTTCTTAATTACTAGGAAATAAGCTAGCTTTGTAAGTCTGTCTATGACTACCCATGTGACATCCTTTGCACCTGCGATGAACGAAAATCCAGTAACAATATACACAATCCCCATGCCTCATTTCCACTCTTCCAAAAAACAAGCTCAACCATAACCTGAAAGATATTTGATCCCGGACAAAACCATCTGATATGTCTATACTGTGAAACAATGCAGCTACAATCTTTCTCATTCTGGACCAATGGTAGTTAACACTTCATATCTTTGTATCCCTTGGAGTTTCCCGGATGGATAAAGAACGCGAGTGATGTGTTTGCTGTAAGATCCATTTTCTTAACAAATTATCGTCCGATACACAAACTCGATTTTGATACAAGTGCATCCTTCTTGAAACTGACTGATTTCCAATATTCTGAGTCTCAACCTGCATAACCAAAGTCGTATTGTTTTCATGTGTTTGGCGTATCCTCCATAGAAAATCTACTTGCTCCAAAGCCTCAAGGCTTGATGTCCATCCCTCTACAATAATCGCACAAAGTTTTGAAACTAACAAGTGTTCCAGCAAGTTCATGAACCTCCTTGGTTCTCTAATCATCGCTCATATACAAAGCATTTGTCATCTGGTTGACCATACCAAATGACATGTAGTATTTGAACTGTTGTTTGCTCCCAACTCAATCCAACTGCAGTGCCTCAAATACAAGTTTTTATTGAATGAAGATAAAATTCACTCTGATGATCCCAGAATATCTGAACTTCCTCTCTGAAAAATTATAATCTCCAAAATCTTATCTCAACTACCACTGCAGATACTCTAAACTATGAGCAGGGTAGTGGATCCCGGTATGTCTCAACTGACGCCATCTACATGCAATTACCTGATCCTCGTGCAACAATACACAATCTGCAAATGCTCGTCATACTCCTCTACTCCAAGAATACATGAGGTGCCGTCCAAAGATACAATCATACACTTATCCAAGTGCTCACGAAAGAGTCATTCATTAGCTTCACGTATGCTACGGTGCACTTGACAACCCAATTGGTTTCACTACAATCCCATAATACTCATAACCTGAGCAGAAAGTCGTCTTCCGCACAACTCCCTCAGCTACAATAATCTTGTGGTAATCTGATGCCAAGACAATCCTTGAAAACAGTGAACCTCTCAGGAGCTAGTCCAACCATTCATCAATACGCAGAAGCAGATGTTTTTTTTTTTTTTTTTTCTTGATGATCACTTTATTCAAATCTCCGCAATTGATACCAAATCTGAAACTAACAACTATTTTTCGTCGCAACAACACTAACGGTCCCCATGGGGAAGTACTCTGTCTAATAAAATTTCTATCTAATAAATCTTCCATCTGGTTCATCTGCTCGGCCATCTCTGTGTGCGCTAATCAATACAAAACTCGTGAAACCGGTGGTGTCCTTCGTTCCATTTCAAAGCATCTCCTATGCTTGGTGATGACCCTTCCAAAGATCATAAATACATCTTCATACTCTTCAACTAAAAGGTTCCGCAGTTAGTGCTTTCCATCGTCCTTCACCATCAAAATGGTCTCAAATATCCATATGATCTTACATCCAAGAATTCCTCAACATGTAGAAATGGCGGCTATGAAAATATCCTATGCTCCAGAAATACAAATAATCCAATGCTACTCGATGTCGTGATAGCCAATGCATCCTAAGAATAACATCGCAGAAGCTCAACTCCTAGAAGTCTTCAAATAAATTAATCACTTCAACCATATCTGGTACATCCCGATGAATATAAGTAGCTCCAAACGTCTATATGCCAGTTGTTCGAACTGACACATCTCTAAAACGATCAACACAATCAAGAACTGGTAACCAAAGCCAAGTGAAGCTCTAATATTAACACAATGCGAGTTGCCGCACCCCAAATTCAAAAGCGATCCCCACGAGTATACACACCAAACACACCTCCACATAATCCATATACTCATACACAACCTAACACATGCCAACCAATGGCCTATAACTCATATCACATATCACATACACTCCAGAAACAAAACTCGTGAAGCGATAGCTTGAATGTGGATGGCAGATTCCTCACATGTCCACTCGCAGATAATCTCTGAACACCACCGACGAAACCGATAAACGCCTCAGCAATCTGACAAACTCTGACATCATCCATCCGTAACCTGAACCTCTGGCTGAAAACATGTTAGCTAAAGAACGAATGACGATGATTTTACTCATCGACATAAAAGACAATTAGAAGTTACTAAACGGAGAGGTGCTAGTTGTCTTAATTTTAAAAATTCCCAAGTCCCCAAAAATCATTTTAGAAATCATTAAAAATAGATAAAAACCGATAAAAACCGATAAAAACCGTCCTCACTGATCGCCATCCCGGGTCGGAGCCGGGACGGAACCCGCTCTGATACCAAATTGTAACACCCGCATTTTCCAAAATAATATATAAATAATAATGTCTGAAATCTCCATTTATTAAATCGCATAAATCATCTCAAAAACTCCATAAATCCAAATAACGTAATAACTCTCGAAAATATCGATAAAAGCATAAGTCTGAAAATAAATAAATAAAACTCCCAAAAGCACCAGTCNATAACTCTCGAAAATATCGATAAAAGCATAAGTCTGAAAATAAATAAATAAAACTCCCAAAAGCACCAGTCCGAAAAGATCACACTCGATCGTCAGTATCACCTGAAAGGGGAAAGAATGAGAGGTGAGTAACAGGGGAGTCACTCAGTGAGGTATGGGATGCTAAACACGCAAAACACTGACTTGAGTAAATAGAACTTCCACTAAGGAAGTTTAGCTCTAACATGAACAAACACGGCACCTAGAGCGCCCACAAAACAACCAATGCGATGATAGCATATAGCTAATCCATACACCCCGCATACTCCTCATAAGGATATAGATATATATCCGAAGCGGCGCTAGCACAGTCTGTCTCTGTACCCCCGCCCAACCGTAGCGTCGAATGCAAACGTCTCTGCATCACGCCCCAAACAGTAGCGTCGAAGCTCAAACGTCTCTGAACTCACGCCCCACATCGTAGCGTCGAAGCCCGGACAGCTCCGAACTCACGCCCCTCACATAGTCCCTACTCATAACTATGTATACGT